ATTGGGAGATATGTATAAAAATTGGGTTAGTTTAAGGAGGTGGGAGGGAAGGGCATACAAGGAACCTAGGGGATAAATGGAAAGAAGGACCTCAAGAGAGGTAGGACCCTAGGAGAAGGGTATTATTAAGGAAGAAAGGGGGGCAATGGGGGCAACCTAAGTGGGAAAACCATGATGGAGGGGTGAGACAATATTACTCCTACAACCTACTGACAAATTATACATAGCAGATCAAGAAATATATATCTAGGCAAGGTTTATCTGAGAACAACTGGTCTTTGCCCAAGGTTTATCTACACGACACATAGTAATTAAAAGTACCAGACTGATGGAACTAACCTTCTTGGATGTTTAAAAGACATATTTTGAGGCCTATAATAATTTGGTCAGAGGGACATAAAGGACAGTTTTTGCTCCTTGCCCTCCTAGGTCGACTAGTTCCAGGAGACTATGAGCATCTCTCAAAATGTTCTGTAATTGTGGTGGGTCACCTGTCGTCTTGATCAAGGAGGCCGAGGAGATCCCACCAGATGGACTTGAACCAGTGTCCAGTCTACAAAGAGGAGGGTCAACAAAGAGGAATCATTTCCTCCATGCTCACAAGCAAAGCCAACAATGGTCAAGCAGGACCTTTGACTTATCTTCACAGAGCCCATGTGACCCCTGAGGAACAGATCCTCAAACGACCTTAAGAGTAAAAACAAATTGGTTTATCTGGGCCAACTGTATGGCCTTCAACACCCAAAAGGAAAGTATAACCAAAGTTTACAAGGGCCAATATAATTTTTTAAGGGTTCATATGCATAGCTAAAGGCTACATAACAAGCAAAAATGCCAAATAGGAGATACCTTTTTTTGAGTTGTTGGCCAGGGTGGCCAAAGGGACGCCCAGATAGTAACCCAGCAAAGAACTGGGAAAATGAACAGCAGACCCCAATCTTATCTAAAGGAATATTGACAACTGATTGCTGCTAGATGAGGAATAGCTGACCCTCCTAAAACAAAGACCTCTAGATAGGCTGACTAGATTCACCAGAAGGGCAAGTAGTGGGGAATGGCTGGGGATGCTGACAACACAGCAGACAGTAGCAGGGATATCAGAGTATAAGGGCTCTAGTCGGGGGAGGGAGGCTATGGGAGGGTGCCATCTGGGAAGTGGGTGTATAGTTGAATAAGATGGTTTGGGATGTTCTGTGTGATATAAAAATAAATAAATAAATAAATAAATAAAATACCAATTTCCAAAAACATGTTATTCTAATCTGATGAAGTAATCAGATGTTTGCATCTGCTTTAATTAAAAAGTTTAAAGGGGGAAAAAATAGCATTCAGAGAATGCTGAAGTGAGTCACAGATGTGAGAAAATATGTGCAATTTAAGTATCAACAATGTCCTTAGAGTTATAAATGTTATCAGTTCCAGTAATTCATTATAAATAATTCATTTATGTTATGAATAAGAAAAAAAGAGCCAATTTAAAACTTACACAAATGATACTTCAAAAGTGAATATTCAGAAGGTCAATGCCATTTGAGAAGTTACTCAACATCATTAGTCATCGGGTAGAAGTAAGGTGAAATCACTACTTACATATCCAGCAAAACTGAAGAAAAATGGCAATCAGGGAATACCAGCAAATAGGTTGCTTCTATGAATATAAACTGGTATGCACATATGGGAAAATGTTTGGCAAGACCTATCTAAACACACAGACACAGACACACACACACACACACACACACACACACACACATTCTACAAGCATCCAAAATAGATGTCCAAGGACATATTACTGTTATTTGCAAACCAAAGCTAGAGACAACCCAAATACCCATCAACAATAAAAGATACACACTATGATATATTCCTAAAATGAGATGAAGAAACATTTGGCTTCATGAGAAAACAAAATGAATGCCCCAAACACAACTCTGAGTGAAGACAGACAGACATACAAATGACTACTCCAGTTATATCAAGTTCAAAGATAGGCAAAACAAGAAATAAGTGAGATTGTCAGAATAGTGGTATTTCTTTTAGGGTATGTTAAAGGAGGATATCAATTCAGCAACCACCAGAGAGGTTAGGTTGCTGGAAGAGTTCTGATATTGATACAGGTGATGGTTAAACAGGCCTACACATATGTAAAAATTTGATGATGGGTCCTTTTATTCCATGTGAACTGTATCATTCTTTAAGAAAACAAACACACATACATGCTCAATTTCCTAAAACTTCAGTTATTACATAATTTAACATTCAATCTTCCATTTTAGTGTGATGAGATAATGCTCCTCTTGATAAAGAATAATATCACCAATATCTAGCTCACCTTAGAATTAAAGTGTCTAAATCTCAAACACAAACTTCTAAAAGGGAAATAGTGCCAATTTTCTATAAGGATTAAAGCAGAAGCTTAACCTTCATACTTCATTTTATGTCATTAGATAATTTTCTTAATTATTTATAGCAGGGATATCAAAATTTGATGTAAATAAAGATAGGGATGAAGAATATACTATAGTATACTTCTATAAAATCTATACCAAAAAGTCTCTTTGATACTTTCTCAATTTGAATAAAAGAATTATGTGCTTCTTTGTATTTTATTATGAAGAAGAATTAAGGGTAGAGAGGTCATTGTATATTTATCACTGATCACAGAAATGCCCAGAAGTTTGTTTCCATGTCAATTTTAAATACCATCAAGTTGATAATCAAGGTTTACCAGATGTGCGTGCGTGTTTGTGTCTGTCTGTCTGTCTGTGCAGTTTTTCCTCAGGTACTTTGCAAGTAACCCATACCCAAGGTTATGATGGCTATTCAATGCTTTAGTCATAGGGACTTTCACCAGCAGATTATCTACTCCTACTTTGCTTTGGTGAGCAATGATAAATATACAGTGATCTCTCTACCCTTAATTCTCATCAATATCTCATCACAAGATAGAAGGTTAAATTATGTAATAACTGAAGTTTTAGGAAATTGAGCATGTGTATGTTTGTTTTCTTAAAGAATGATACAGTTCACATGGAATAAAAGGACCCCACTACATGGGGTAGGGTCCTGGACAGAATAAAAAAGAGGAGAGCTGAGCTGAACACCAGCATTCATCACTCTCTGCCTCTCAGACGCAAGGCGATCAGCTGCCTCCAGTTCCTGCCACCACAACTTCCTGCCATGATGGACTGTGCCCTGCATCTGTGAGCCAAAATAACCCCTCCTTCCTGAAGCTACCTTTATCAGATATTTTGTCACAGCATCAAGAAAAGTAACTAATAGAGTACTCTTATTATAAAATGTCTACCGGGCTGGAGAGATGACTCAGTGGTTAAGAACACTGACTGTTCTTGCAGAAGACCTGGGTTCAAATTCCAGCACCCACATGGCAGTTAACAATTGTCTGTAACCCCAGTTCCAGGGGATCTGACAGCCTCCTCTGTCCTCCGTGGGCACTGCACGACATGGGTGCACTTACCTACATGCAGGCAATACATGCATACACATAAAATAAAAAACAATAAAAAATTTTTAAATGTCTACAATACTTCCTTAACCCCTGCATATCAACTGCAAGTAAAAGTATTTTCACTGTTGTTTTCAATTGAGGAAATTTACCACCAACAAATGAGAACATTTTGAAGTATTACAGAAGCAGATCCTAAAGTAGTACTTAGTTTCCTTTGTTATTTCTAACCATTAACACTTTATATCTGGAAACTGACAAGTATATGATGAGTTTAAAAGCAAGACACAAAGACAGAACATATTCCTGATCTCAGATAGCATCACAGCATACTCTAATTTTAGACTCATGTAAGAATGTAGAGAACTCACCTGCCAAGCTGGAACAGAGGTTGAATTGGACATGACTGTTTTTTGCAGTTCTTCAAGTACAGCATCTGGGAGGGGCTTTTGTGACTCCAGGAGTGATTTACACTGAACTTGTCTCAAAAGTAAAATAACAGCTGGCTGATCAGGATTACTTTTTAAATTCTAAAATTAAACCCCAAATAGAAACATATCAAATAGGGTCTAAGCTTAAAAAAAAAAAAAAAGGTAGCAATTAAACTATGCTCAACATTAGCAGAATTTTTAAAATTTAAACCTTTTCTGACTATAACAGAAATAACTAAAAAAGCTAAATAAATAAAAGACTGAACAGCTAGGATTATCAAATCCTACATTTAAATAATCTCTCACATAAGTAATTCTATTGTTGCAGTATATGAGTCACTCATTTTAGATTTAATATACCCTGTTGACTTGGGTTTATTTTCAGTTGATATACTGAAAACTTAAGGTTCTGAATGTAAATAGCTGAACTAAGAAAATATACCATTAAGAGTAAAGGTCATTAAAGGTAGAACATACCCTATTCTCTGTGTGTGTGTGTGTGTGTGTGTGTGTGTGTGTGTGTGTGCATACGTGTGCATGTTCACGTGTGTATGAGTACACGTGTGTGTTGGCCAGAGAGAAACCCGGAAGTTGTTCCTCAGGTGCCACCTATGTTGTTTTGGAGACAAGATCTCTCACTAGCCTAGAACTCACCAAGTAGGTTAGGTCCTAACCAGAAAGCCCTAAAGATCTGCCTGTCTCCACCTCCAACTTTGGCATTACAAGTACAAACCACAATGCCAAGCTTTTTGGTTTCTAGAGATTGAATTCAGGTCCTCCTAACTAAGTTGCCTCCCCAGCCCCAAACTTCATAGAGGCATTTTTAAAAATTTTTAAAATTTGTATCAGAGATACCTAGGACAGGTGTTTCTTCCAGGCACAGACTTCTCAGATATTGGAATTAAAAGAAAGGACTCCTTTCCCTATTCCCCTCAAGTTACTATTAATACCCTATATAAATGCACACATGCATATGTATCTCCTTTCATATATAAGTGGACATTCCCTACTAGGATTAAAGTTGTTTTTATTTGCAAACCTGATTAAATACATGGAAAAGGCTTAGCGAATTACCAAAATCAGCTACTAGAACTGGATGCTTCATGTTTACAGGGTGCAAAGTTAACAAACATGAACTCAATGATGTAAGTATATAGGATAAATATTAAAATAAATGGTCAATATTATGCAGACATGAGCTAACAAAATGTATAAATGCCATATACTAGTAAGTACAAAATACTAAGAAAAATTAAGTACATACATAATTAGAAACAATATGAAATTCATGGATTTTAAAGATGCCTATTCTTTCCAAATTCAGCCCGTTTTTTTAAAGAAGAAAATAGTGGTTTGATGTTTCTTGGTCAGGGTTAGATTAACATATAATTAACATAGCATTTGTGTTAACTTATAGAATGCAGCACTGTAACAATACATAAATACAATATATTATGATCAAATCAGGATAATTAGAATTTTGATATCAAATGCTGTTACTTCTATACGTTAGCAAACTTCAAACTCTCCTGTAGTTACAATATTCCTTTCTTCCTTTGTCTCTCACTGGAGCGCTTATCTATTGTTTACTCACTAGATCACAAACGTGCCTAAAGTTTCTTCTAAGGAAGAAACTGAAACAATTGACAAGGAAAAGCTCATGAAGCATTCCTTATTCTAGCAAAGAGCATTAGCGGCTAATTTATGCTTAGTAAACACTCATGATATAATAGCCTGACCTTAGATGTCCTTATTAATGCCTAAACTTAGATCAGATGGAGTTCTTTACCTGAAAGAGAAAAAAAACTACTCTCTTCAAAAGACCATTTTTACAGTGGTGCATGCTTTTAATCCCAGCACTGGGGAGGCAGAAGTAAGCAGATGTCTGTGAGTTCAAGGCCAGCCTGGTCTATATAGTGAGTTCCAGGCCAGCTGAAGCTACAGGGAGCCGCTGTCTCAAAAAGGCCATTTTTATTTCTCTGTCAAAGACCACTTCTGAGAGGACAAGATCTTTCTGGTGAATGCAGTATTAACACAGACAAAAGAAGCCATGCTTAAAACCCTCCTGAACTATTAAATTTTTGAGTGTGCTCATGAAACCGATTCATTCTTTTAATACATAGTTTTTGAGCTCCCCTATGAAGTGAGCAAGATACTAAGAATCTCTTCACAGAGCCTGCAGGGAAAGAGCCCTGCAATCGTAGCACATAAAAAGTGACAGTTTCCCAATCAACAATCTCCACAGTTACTCTATACCATTCAGAATGCTGGAAAGAGAAATAGATACTGTAAAACACAATGTTCAGAAGCCAGAAATCAAGGGAACTGCACACCAAAACAAAAATGTTAAAGATGGTAATGATTTGAATGAAAATGTCCCCCATAGGCTCCAAGTATTTGGACATTTTGTCCCCAGATGGTAGTGCTGTTTGGGGAGGTTTTAGAAGGTGTGGTTATCATGGAGGAAGCACATCACTGGGTGTAGGCTTAGAGAATTCTTAAGCCTTGCCTGATCTCCAGTTGGTCTCTTGCTTCCTGTGCCTGTGTGATGATGTGAGAGCTTAGCTTCTACAGCTCCTGCTCCAGCCACCTCCAGCCACCATGCCTCCCTGCCATGACAGACTGTAATTCCCCTGGAAATGTAAGCTCAAATAAACTCTTCCTTATATAAATTGCTTGGGTAAGTGTTTCTATCACAGCAACAGAAAAGTAACTAATAAAATTGCTTGGGTAAGTGTTTCTATCACAGCAACAGAAAAGTAACTAATACAAAGATCTATTAAAACGTCCGTGAGGTGGGGCTGGAGAGATGGCTCAGCAGCTAAGAGCACTGGTTGTTCTTACAGAGGATCTGAGTTTGGTTCCCAGTACCCAGATGGTAGCTAACAACCATTCATAACTCCAGTTTGAAGGAATCCAATGTTCTCGTCTGACCTCCACAGGCATTGTACAACAGGGGTACACTTATATACATGCAGGCAAAATACACACGTTAAAAAATTAAAAATAAATCTTAAAAATTAAAATTTCAAGTCAATGAGGTATAGTGCAATGGTAAAATACTCTCCTAGCACCCTATTTCTAGCTGTGAGCTTCTGAGTAAATACTTTCTTATATCTAAATTTTCAGATTTGCAAAAATGGTGATAATAATAAACATCTACATTATAGAAGTTTTGTAAAGCTCAAATATAACAATGCTAAATGGAGTGACTCACTTGTCATAAGTATTCAATAAATGTTGGTTATTATCACCCCCATCACCTTTAAATAACAAACACACCTCCATTTTTAGGAAGACAAAAGCCCATGACTTTCAGTGCATAACTCCACAGTAGTACCTTTGTGCACAGAGACTCTGCATCAGATAGTCTTCCTGTGTCTAGTAGGCCAGTGACAGCTTGTGAGAGAGACCACTTTTCAAGAGATTGGTTATAACTTTCAAAAGATTCTTTGCCCTTAACTGTAAAACAAAAAAGTCAATGTTACTATAATTTCTGAAACTTATAATGAGATTGCAAAGGGAATAGCTAGTTGCTAACAAGATTTCAACTACTCATACACATTTTAGTTTTTTTGAGACAATCTATATAGCTCAGGCTGACCTCAAACTCATGATCTTCCTGCCTCAGCACAAGTACCAGAATAACAGGAGTATACCACCACCTGTATTTTAAAACTTACATGTATCATTGGAATGTCAGACTTACTGTGAATACTTTATATTTTTAAAAACTAATATATCTATAGTAACAATGAAAATCTTTAACAATGTATTGAAATGAAAATGAAGTAAAATAAACTACATGTATTTTAATTATTCAGTTTGAAGAGTTCTGACACCATCATACACTGGTGAACATCACAATTGAAGTATATCATAAGCTCCTCATTCTAAGTTCCCTCCTGCCCTTTTGCAATCACTTCTGTCTCTAACTCACCCAAACCCCCTTATCCCCTGTCCCCAGGAAACTCTAATCAGATATCATTTTCTATAACTTCATATAAATGGCACCTTTCACCACTATTAGTGTAAATTACACTCACTTTCAAATTCTGGGCCCCCAAACCCCCGATTTGTGATGTATTATTTTTCTTATGTGCTTTGAATGCTAAAGTTGTGCTGTGAATTTCTCTATTTGTGCTCAGAAGTGATAATGCTCTGCCCTTTATTTATATGTTTTTAGTTTTAGTATTAGGGTAAAGCTGGCCTCACAGAAAATGTTCAAAAGAGTTCCATCTCTTTTATTTTCCAGAAAATTTTGTATAGAACTGGTATTATTTCTTTCTTTAATGTTTGGTATAATTCATCAGTGAAGCCATCTGGTCCTATAGCATTCTTTGTGAGATTTTAAACTATCTAGAAGCCCTTAATAAAAACATAGCTCTTTATTTCTTTTTCCATGTCATAAGGAATTTTTTTTTTGAGTTGTCAAATTTCAGGGCATAAAGTTGATAAGAATCTTATTCACATTATACCAGGTATGACATACCTACTTTCATTCCAACACTGGTATCCTGTACTCTTTTTTTTCCTGATTCATCTATCTATAGGATTATCACTTTTATTAAGCTTCTCAAGGAACCAGTTTTTTATTTCACGGATCGCCTGTTTTATTTAATAAATTTCTAGTTCATCTTTATTATTTCTTTATTCTGCTTACTTTACTCTTAATTTACTCTTCTTTTTTTAGATTCCTATGATAGAAGCTGATATCATTATTTTGAGTCTTTCTCCTTTCCTAATGTAAATAATGACATCAATCTTCCTCTAAGCAGTGCTTTAGTCTTACTGTGTAGTCTTGACATGCTGTGTTAATTTTCATTCACTTAAAACACTTTCTAAGTTTCTTTTGGACTTTCTCTTTGACCTGGGTTATTAGAAGTATGTTATATAGTTTACAAATATTTAAGAGTTTTCCAGTTACTCTTCTGATGTTTATTGACAAAAGATGATGGGAATAATTAGGCCTCCACTAAAGGCTTCCACATGGAAGAAAGGAAATGCCCAACTCAGGCCCACTGGAGCCAGACTACTCAGTCAAAGTCAGCAGAAAGATGGACGGAGCAGCTCTGTGAAGTTCACAGCTGAGGGGCTCCCTAAAAGACAGTGAACTATTTATGAGTAGTTCTATGAGACAACAAAATGCATCCTGTATCCCACCTTGTCACCATATGATGAAAGGCTTGCTTCCAACACTTACTTTCACTCATTGCAAAGAGATCGAGAAAAAGTACAGCTGTAAAGGATATACTCTGAAGAACAAAGCAGCATCAGGCCCAGAGGCAGATGCTGCAGAAATGCTAGCATATGTCAGGGATGCTAGAATTATTAGATGGGAATAAAACAATTATGATTAATATGATAAAGGTTTTAATGGATTAAGAAAATAACATGCAACAGCTGATGTGCAGTGCAAAGAAATGGAAATTCTATGAAAGAAAGAAAGAAACAAAAATCTAGAGACCAAAAACACTTAGAGTGTCTGTAATGGGCTTACTGATAGACTAGACAACTGAGTAAAAGAATTTCTGAATTTCAGAGCTCTCAACTGAAATCACTCAAACTGGAAACCCAAGATAAAAAATACTGAAAATAACAGAATGGAATTTCCAAGAACCATGGGACAACACAAGGTCTAAATACACCTAATGGGAATTCCAGAAGGAAAAGAAAGACAAAATATTTAAAACTGTGATGACTAAGAACACCCCCAAATTAAAGTCAGACACAACCACCAACCAGAGCTCAGAGAAAACACTCAGGACAAACCCCCCACCCTCAAAAAAAAAAAAAAAAAAAAATCCAGGTATGTCATCTTCAAAATACAAAAACAAACAAACAAACAAACAAAAACAAAGATAAAGAAAAATTCCTAAAAGAAGCCAGGGAAAAAAAAAAACTATCTTACTTGTGCAAAGATAAGAACAACATCCAACTTCTCTTCAGAAACGATTGAAGCAGAAAATGGAATAAAATATTTCAAGTTTGACTATCCTCAGGCCTCTTGGGGTAAGTCTACAGCGCAGCTCTCCGCGCCTGGACTCCCTAAG